TCTCCTGATCTCCTCCAAGCCATAAGCGCGAGAAGTGTCGTCATCCACCAGCCATCTACTCCCTGCGAGCCGGGTAGGACGCAGCGGGTGCGAAGGGGAGTCGAGTAGGAATTGCGGGATGGTGAGATCGTGTGGGTAGGGGTGGGGGTGGGACATGAGCGGTTGGAAGTCGGCCATGTTGGCTGCTTGTGTCCTTAGGGAGGTGGTGATGAGGAGAGAGGAGATGGTGGTGGTGAAGTAGAGGCAGATAACCGTAGATTCCCGGTGATGCTTTGGTGTACAGTAAACGTCTGATGGTCAGCGACTGGGTCGGCGAGCGCTCTGGTACGCCCAGTGAAAGGGTTACAGGGTCTTCGGGTATCACTTCCGGCAAAGTGCACATCTTCTAACGGTGGGAAGCACTTCATCCTCGAGCCAGCAGTTCTCTTCAGTGGTCGTAGCGAGCGCAAAGCAGGTTGGGCGCAAGATGTGCAGAAAAAAACTGTGCTGAAGATGAATAACCAGTGCCATCTTGAGCAGAACGAGTCCCCGAGGGCCTACATGTACCCGTCGCGGCCGTCCGCCATTCTCTGTCGTATACCATCAGTTGTCCGGACAGTACTATATCAGCACTGGTAGGAGAAATGTCGCTCACGATTTGTGTTCAGGGGCACTTGCAACTGTCTGAATGAATCGCATAGAGAATAACAACGTCGAGAATGTCTTGTGGGGGGGTTGAGAACCATAGGCGTGTAGAGTTCAGGCAGTGTGTCGTCGACACCTAGTACCTCTCGTTGCACGTATTACATCCACATGTTGTGTCCAGGGCCTGACATCCCGCTCAACAATCGATCAGTGTTTCAGTTCATTATTGTATGTTGAGGATATAGCAGTCTGCCGTCGAGCCAGACGCATATATAGCCACCGCGTAAAGCTGTTGAATTGTTTTCTATTCTCTCCTGCAGAGCCCTGTTTCTCCCTTGGATCGCCGCTCTCCCGAATTAATTCTGCTCTCCTCTGTACGTGACATTTGTATATACCCTGTGTACTTCTGGTCCGGTTGTTTCACGGTGAGTGTCATTTGAAGTATTCTGTCCTGTGCTGGTGCTGTGAATGATCGTCCCGGCTGCGTAACCTGGAACACCCCGGCATTACAAAAGGTCTTCTCCCATGATGCGAAACAGACCATCCAGCTGGACTTGATCATTCCTCTTCCTCCACACTACAGCGTTGGCCGGTGAGTGCCTTCGTTTCCTGTCAACCTGGTATACTAGGTACTGAAGACATCTATTTGAAATTACAGCTGTCTAATAACCCCACTCGCTGATCCACACATCACTCACAACACACACCAGTCTTCGCAACATGACGCTCTTCGTGAATGGCTTCCTCATCCTGTGGCTCTCCTTGGCTACGAACCTCGTGACTCTTGCTGCGCCTATCCTACCCATTCAGCAATATTCCTTGTCCACGCGCGATATCCCAGTGAACAACGAGCCAACGCCGTTGTCCTACCGTTCTTTCGAGGATTTCCCCAGTTGTTCCTTCGCCAAAAACCTAGGATAACCTTCCAGTTTGGGACGATGAGCACCGAAGACCTTAAGAAGTACAGTTCAACCCCCAGACGCAAGCGAAGACAGCAGGATGGTATCCCAATCGTGGGCAATGATCGCGTTCCAGTCTCGGTCAGTGGCTTTGTTTTCGATGACCCTATCTATTGTTCTGATGTTGTCTGTTTCCCCTTGTTGAATCCCTGGTATTTCATGCACGGGATGAGTAGACGGTCCACCCTCAGGCTCAGTCCGCAAGCGACTCTCATCTGTCCACAAGCCACCCTCAGCCCGCAAGCCACCCTCAGGCGTTCGCAAGCCCTCAGGTGTTCGCAAGCCAAGGGCAGCAGGAAGATGTACCCATGAACGTAGATCATCACGACCCGAGCCCACACCCGGGCCCACAACATGCAGTTCCAATGGAGGTAGATCATTACGGCCCGGGCCCACACCCGGGCTCACCACATCCAGATGCAATGCAGGTAGGCCCTCCCTGGTTTGCAAGCCAACCAGGTCATAGATAGTCGCATTCTACTCGTTCCTCATGACCAAATAACTCATTAGCTTTTTGTCGCCTATGGGTGGGTGCGCTGTATGTCCTCATACTGGTGCGCTGCTAATTAGGCATTAGGACGATATATGATGTGCCCGTTTTCCTGTGGCGATGATGGCGGCATGGATAATTAGAGTATGATGTTACGGTGGTGTTGTAGAACCAATGGTCAATACTGAATGCAATGCACGTACGGCCAGATCCACCCCGATTGGCTCGGCATCCTTGAGCTGCGGAGTCTTCGGACACGCTGAATAAGTAAGTCGCAGATATGCAATCTGTCATCATCATTTTCCCATCTACAAACTTTCCCCGCCTAATGTTTCATCTGATTCGTCGACGACGTCAAATACGTCCAATCTCCCGCCATATCAACCTTCAGATCTCCTCGATTATCCCTCAGCACCTCCTCCTCGTGCTGCATGACAGCGCCCACGTCCTGCTCCACATCAAAGTACCTTCCCCTAAGCTTGTCTGCCTTACCCGAACAGAGGTAAACCACCGTCCACGCGCAAAGCTCAACCGTATCCTCTTGAATATCCACAAACTTGCGTACCCGCTCATGCATCCCCGGGTAGGCAGCGTCCACATCGGGTTCGACAAGCCCATAGTTCATCTTCGTCTTCGGGCCGCCAGGATGCAGCGAAAAACAGCACACGCGATCAATGTTGTCCATCGTCAGCTCCGCCTGGACGCACGCGGTCATCCGCGTCAGCGCTGTCTTGGACGACGTGTACGAACTTGCGAAGCCCCGCGACGCCATCACGGCTGCACGGGAGGAGATATTAATGATGTACTGGCCAGAGTTACGTGCGCGCATCGGGTTGATCACCCGGGACATGAGGTGTGCGGGCTGATAAGAGGCGATCAGCTGGCGTACCTGCGCAGGGAAGAAGCAAGACGAACATTGTGCAGGTTCACTTCAAGGATGCTCCACCATTCGTCTGGCGGCGTCATATGGAATGGCCTGAGCCTGTTCGCACCTGCATTATTGACGAGTATGTCGATCTCCCCCAATTCCTTCACCGCCTGTCGCAGTCCCAGTCAGTCAGCACACGATCGTGAGCAGGAAAGGGAGGCGCACTTTGTCCACCGCAGCGTCCAGCTCACTGGTCTTTGCCGCATCCGCAGTGCAGATGCATACCTGCACCTCCCGCTCCTTCTTGCATAACTCAGCCGTCTCCTCCAGTTCTCCCGTGCTCCTTGCAAGCAGGGCAAGACCCTTCACGCCAGCTTGAGCAAAGGCGATCGCTATTGCGCGCCCGATACCACGGCCTGCACCAGTGATGAACGCGATCTTTCCGGAGAGAGTATTGGGGAAGTTGGATGGGTCGATCGACGGGTAGACGTTGGTGTGAATCGCTTTGATGTCGAGGTCAGCCATGTTAATGTCGTGCTCTGCTACCGGTGAAGACACTACGGCAGGAACGGGGAGAACGAGAGGCTAGGGGGCGCATCATAGGACATCCAGGCATGGTTAAATAGGCAGAGAGTGACTGGAAGTCGCTGTTTACCCGTCCAGAACACGTGAGTAAGGCAGGCAGCGGAGTAACACAACCCTGCACGGGTGAGGATTTGTCCGGGTTGATGGAGTGGATTGCGAACCTGACCGGTTCTCCACTTGTTGCTTAATTGCTCTCGTGTTGCTGGGCGACAGGGAAAGCAATTTACTATGCCGGTTATCGGCCTAGAGAGCCTCCGCTCTAACAGCCTGTTCTATTCTCCGCTACCTACCTGTGCCCTGAGCACTCAGAACTGCAGACTGACTCTCACAGGAACTGGCTTTCTCAGCAGCACATATCATATCCGGTCAATGGCAGCTATAACTCGATCAAATAAGGTACTCTCTCTTAGAATACAGCCGTTCAAAACACGACTTCGAATTTCTCCCTGAATGGCACTCTTCCTCTTGTAGTGTCGCCCGGTCATCGACGACACTGGTGACCCTCGCTGCCCCTGTTGCTATCGAACGATTGATATCGCTGCGCAATTCCTTGACAAATGAATGGACGGCCGAGGTCTGCTGTTCTGTCGAGGGCGAACATTGGCACTGCTCGTCTTCTAGTCCGAACGAGGTGAGCACCCCAGCGGGGTTGATGATTGCAATGAATTGCGCGCCCTGTCTACTTTGGTTTAGTCAGAGCAAAGACCATCCCCAGACACCGAAGGAATTAGCTCTCATACTCCCAAATATGTTGAGATAAACCGACCTGTGACTTGGGAGACAAATTGTGATGGTTGAGACTGATGTAAAGAGTTACTGCACGTGACTGAATGAATTATAAATGGACCCTTGACCGTGACAATGAACATTACTTAACTTTACATTTCAATTCCAACTGTTTTATCCCACTCGGACAACGGTCAAATGGACACTCATCCCTCACTGTCAATATCCATTCCTCCCTCTCTCTCTCACCTCCCACCTCTCTCAGCTCATGAAGTATCCGCCATCCTCTCCTCCTACCAAACGCTCTCTCCCCCTCTCCCACTCCCTCTTTCTCAACCCGTCCTTCCCCCACTCCCCCCTTCCTCACCAGGCAACCCCCACCTTCTCAAGTTCGCCTCCGCATTATCTGCACGCTCTACCCCATTTGGTACAGATGTGCCCCTCTCTCCCTCGAAGAGGGCGAAATGGTCAATGATGGAACTCGAACGCCTAGCGCGTAAGGCAGAGATGGAGGTGTTTAGCGAGTCTGAGCTGCCTACAAGCCCCGTATGGGAGGGGGAACCGAGTCAACCTGGCACCCCCTTCCAAGACTGGAGTACACCCCATACGCCGAGGACGCCACGTACCCCCCGTGCACCGGGACAGCACTTGCATAGTCTCTTGCTTGGAGCAGGGGACTTCCTCATCGATATCAGCGTCTCTTTCTCCTCCGCATCACCTAGTCCGGTATTGATGTCACTTATCACGTCACATCCTGCCAACGTGGCGCTTGATCAGCTGCTCGCGAGACATTTGGAGGAGTTCTTTCGCATGCTCAGCCCGTCGGAGGTGGATGGAGACGGAGCGGAGGGGGACGAGGAGGATGTGGACACGGTGAAGATCCAGCGACACCTGGAGATACTCGAACGCTGGCTCGGAGAGCTGAAAGACACACAAGCACTCGTCAAACATGCTGAGGAGCGGGGGGAGTCTGAAATGGATGCGGGTCGCTGGTGGAGTGTTATTCCCCAGGTGGGAGAGGAGTGGGAAGGGAGGGTACGAGAGCTCTTTGAGGGGACCAATGAGCATGATGAGAAAGGGGAGGGAGAGAAGGCAACGCCGGTCGACGTGCTCGCCTCGGTCGTGCCAATCCCTCTGCCGTACCTCACCTCCCCAAGCATATCCTTCCTCCTCTCCATCTCCCCACGCGCCTACCTCTCCCTCCGCAAGTCCAATCCGCACCCAGCCCCTCCTCTCTCCGCACTCCGTCCGTTCCTCCTCTCCCCACCATCCCTCGACCCTTCCCATTATCCGATGGCGACGCTCTCCCTCCTGCCCCTGCCAGCGCCATACGACCCCACACCCTCCTTCTCCGGTCCCCCAGCACACCCTTTCCCCTCAGATGACAAACATCATTGGAGCCTTGCCTTCTCCCCTCCTGTGTGGGTGCGTTCCTCTGCGCTCTCAAGGTTTCGAGGCCCTGTACCCCCAGAATGTGTGCACGCTCAGGCAGGAGAGTGGCTCACCGCTGTCGTACGTCCCCTCCCACATGGCCTAAACCAGTTTCACTAATCACGCGCATATATCTAGCTCGGACCCCGCTTAACTCCCAACCCGATCTATACCTGGCGTTCCCACCTCTCAACGTCCCCAAAATCCTACATCGTCAACTTCTCCCCCTCCTCCGGGTCCTCCCTGGCCGCGGCGGTCCAGCTCTCCCGGTTGCCTGTGCGTAGTGCAGAGGAGCTCAGGAGCGTGTTGGAGGTCGTACAAGGCGAATGGTGGTTAGCTACTGTACTCCGGGAGCTGGGCAGCGAGAACAGGGAATGGGCAGGGAGTGGGACCCAAGAACCACCCGATGATGACCTAAACCTGACGATCGACCAGCTCCTCTCTGGTACCCTACCCAACTCTCCCCACATACCCATCACACTCACCCGCCCTCCTCCTCCTGCACTCTCCCTATCCGGTCAGCCTCAGTTCAGGATAACCGTCCTCCCCCACCTTACGCTCTCCGTCTACCATCCCCTGTCAAGCCCTTGCCACCGGCTGAGGGTCGAGCGGCTTTCCGTCCTCCCGCCTCCTAACTCCGGGCCAGAGCAAGCCAGGGACTGGGAAGCGCGTGCCGGGGAAGTCCTCCGCCGAGGGGGAGTAGGCTTCCTCCTCGAGTGGGCTTGGGAGGGGGAGCACGAGCTGGTACGAGAGTACCCTGGGAAGAAGCTGATGCCCGATGTCAGGGAAGAGGGGCCGCCGGAGATACACGTCCTTGGACCTTTGGAGTTGGAGCATCTGGTGGGGATGCAGGGGATGGATGGCATGAGTGGCATGGATGGGATGGATGGCATGAGCGGCATGGATGGGATGAGTGGGATAAGTGGAATAGAGGGGTTGGAAGGGATAGACGGCATGCAAGGCATCGAACTCGATGCTGCTCTCGCTGCCGCTTCTGGCCAAACGCTCGGCGTCACAGGCGGGGCTGACGAGGGAAGCACGACGTTTGATGACCTCTTTGGCGGGAGCTCGGGGGACGTCGGCAGCGGGTTCGGCGACATTGCCGATCTTACAGACCTGCGTGACCTCGGTGGTGACCTGGGTGGAGACTTGGCCATGCGAGATCTGGGCGAAATCGATTATCCACTGGATATGAACATCGATGAGCTCGGCGCGCTGGGGATGCATTTATCAAGTGATATGAACGATCTGGGCATGGGCATGGGGCTGGAGGATGATCTTGCGCTGCAGCTGGATGCGGAGCATGCAATAGGAGGACAGGCCGTGACCGAGATGATCGCTGGTACTGATGTGAACGGGGCGGGTGGGACACTTTCTAGGCCTGTTGAGGGGCATCCAGGGCCTTGAGCTCCATACGCTCCTTTCCGCATGCATAGTTCTGTACTCCTAATTCTCACTCTACCAATTTTTGCGTGGAAGGGGACTCGGCACTTGAGTACAGGGATTGGGCTGGTGGTCGGAGGGAACCCACCGACGACATCGGATGGACATGACTGCCAATTTTGACAGATATCTTGCATGAATTTACAAGTGTCTCTGTTTTTTGCAGCCACATGCAGATGATGAAGACCTTGCAGCCTTTGAGTAAGAAGAATAGATAAGATCGACAAGATCGATCGAGGCGTATGCAAAGTCAGTAACAGGAGGCATTAGCAATGCAATCATCGATTTGCACCATGGAGAGAGTAGGAGCAGACAGTAGTAGAGGGGCCAGGTAGGGGTGAAGGAAGTTTATTAATGGGTACAGAAGGGGAATGGGGTTGCGGGATAGCGTTGGAGATGCCGAAGCATGTAGGGTACAGAATGTAAATGACTGAAAGCAAGGGATAACAACTAAAATGTTGCGGGAAAACGGGACTACGGGACGGTGCAATTCGTTTACATTGCTCGCTCATATGGTATTACTACAGGCAGAACAGTGGGATTCTGTCGCACATTTGGCAGAAGACATGCTTGCTCTGTCAATATCAGAATATCTTCAACTAAGATTCACCTGGCACAGTGCAAGGTGCACCTGTGGGGCCATGACCACAGAAATCAATGTGCACGTGGGCCTACATCAAGAATGAAATTGGCGGTGAGTCTTGGCTCGAGGATGAAACTCAACCTGCGGAAAGGTGGAGGGGTTGAAGTGGACGCGATTCCTCGCGCTTATCGAGTGGCCAAGTGTTCGATCGGAACGGACACACACTCGGATGCTCTGGCCTTGGTGGCAGGCGTTTCCATTCAACGCATGCACCGTTTTGTGTAAGGTCTTGTTCCACGTCCACTATGTGCTTGACTGGGATCGAAGCGTACGGTTGTATCCCTTGTCTTCCTTTGTGGGATAGACATAGGTTGACGTGCTGCTTCGTCCAGTATAAGAGAGGTCAACGAGGAATGAAGGGAGAAAACCAGGTCAGCATATTGTCTATGGTTGTTCACAATGGGGCCACGAACCTGTTCACCCCCCTCATAACTGAAGGCAGTAGCAGCGACAGTGCCCGTTAAACAATTATTGCTGTTAGGGGGGTTATAATGGACCGTGTCCCCAGGCTAGGCGTATACGTGGTTTAGATCAGTCCGTGGCAAGAACAACAGCCAGACCCATTGCTGGTTACTGACCTTCAAAGTCCCCTCTACAATGATTTTTCCTGCGTGCATGGGCGGGAGGGGGGAGGGCACTGGGAGAGCAAAAGTGACAAGGATCATAACCGACAATGAGAGCCACAAGAAGATGAGTCGGTGAATAGATTGCATGATATTGAGATTCGCGGTATGTGTGACAGGGATGGGAGATGTGTTGAGTGTAGTCGGTCGGCTGTGATATGACATAGACGTCAGTACTGAAGATGACCTGGGACTTGCGTTGAAGAGACTCACCGGCCAGCGCTCTGGTGGGATGAAGTACGTACGGATCAAGTCCAGCTTGTTTACTTCGTTCATCGTCGGGGGATAGGTGTTTTTATACAGAAGGTGGACCTAGGGTCGAAACTAGGGTTAGCAGCAGTGCGCTTCAAGCCAATTGAATTGTTTACAGCACCAGCTGTTTCTACTGTGTGAACAGCATTCGTCGTAGGGATGGAATCGGTCTCAGACCGAACCGACCGGTTCGGTCTCAAAACCCAGACCAAGACCGAAACCAGTCAACCGAGGGAATCCTGAAACTGATTGAAACCGGTTCCAAACCGGTTTGGGAGCATATAATCCGCGCTGAAGTGTTTCGTTTTCGGGCGCGCATGTGCTTCATAACGATCCTTGGCTCCTGTATAGACTGACAAGAAGTAGCAGACGGTGCCAATGGATTGCCGTCTGTGTGAGATGGACATGTTGTTCAGACGAAACGGGTTTGGAACTGGTTTGAAACGGGTTCAAAAGCGTATGGAGGCCGTGACGGGACAGCTCGTTAGGGGTCCTTGCAGCGGCGATAAGGCCTGGCAGGGTGGTTCACCCCGCCTGAGTTTAGAGAAACAGAATGCTGTGCCAGGGTGGCACTTGCTCTGTGATCAAACGGTTCCGTTTGGGTCCGCTGAATACCATTTTCCTATTTGATTCCATGGCATGGACCCTATTACACAGCATTCAGACGGGATCAAACGGAATCACAAACCGAGGTTCTTGTGCAATTATTTATTATTATCATTTGGTTTCATCACGATTTTATTTATGAGAATATTAATAGCAAAAACATTATTATTGAAACTTAAATGAAAATAAAACATGGAATAATGCCTGAAATAAAATTATTTCATTGGGTCACAAGGGTCCCAAACAAGAATGCAGAAGTCGAAAATTTACTTCCTGTATTAGGTAAGCAACACTGCCCCGGGGGGAGCGCAAAATTGCTTGTTTTCCTTCGAAGCCGGAAGCAAGAGTATTTGCTTCCATGGAGAATTGTGGCTGACTTGCACCCTTTGCAGACCCACAGATCCTCCCAAATTTTAAAACACAAATTTAGAAAACCCACGGATTTGCGCTAAACTAAACGCCGACAGCCACTGTCCGGTCAAGGCCATGACCAGAGGCCGTGAGGGGACAGGTGGGGACCCCTTATCAGCCGACCACCCAAGCTGTCCCGTCACAGCCTCCATAAAATCGAACCACAAGGGACCAGACAGAAACCGGCCTATGCAAAGTGTAACCAGTTTGAGGCCGAACCGAACCGAACCGAACCGTTTCCATCCCTCATTCGTCGTGATATGACCGCGGTGCTGTATTGTATGGACAAGGATGTGCGGTGTGCGTACAAGGCGAATGGTGGTTAGCTCCGAGAGCTGGGCAGCGACTGCGCCTCATGGGCACTGAACGATCGACTAGCTCCTCTCCGGTGCCCCTGTCAATTCTTTCCCACGGGCTGAGGGTCGAGCGCCTCTCCGTCCTCCCGCTTCGTGACTCCGGGCCAGAACAAGCCAGGGACTAGGCTTCCTTCTCGAGTGGGGTTGGGAGGGGGAGCACGAGTTGGTACGAGAGTACCCGGCGAGGAAACCAGTGTTTGAGGTTAGGGAAGAAGGGCCGCCGAAGATACATGTACTTGGACCTTTGGAGTTGGAGCATTTGGTGTGTATGCAGGGGATGGATGCGATGGGCGGGATCAGTGGCATAGAGGGGATGGAGGGGATGGAGGGGATAAACGACATGCAAGCGATCGAACTCGATGCTGCTCTTGCCGCCACTTCTGGTCAAACGCTCGGCGTAACAGGCGGGGCTGACGAGGGAAGCACGACGTTTGATGCCCTCTTTGGTGGCAGCTCCGGGGACGTCGGCAGCGGGTTTGGCCACATTGCCGATCTTACAGACTTACGTGACCTCGGCGGTAACCTGGGTGGAGACTTACGCATGCGAGATCGCGAAATCGATTATCCTATGGACATGAACATTGATGAGCTCAGCGCGCTGGGGATGCATTTATCGAGCGATATGAAGGGCAGGAGGTGACGGGGATGATCGCTGGGACTGATGTGAGCGGGGCGGGTGGCACACTCTCTCGCCAGGCTTGAGCCCCATATGCTCCTTGCCGCATGTATAGTTTTGTACTGTTAATTCTCACTATCAATCTCTGCGGGGAGTGGGGCTCTTGCACTTGAGCACAAGGATATCGCTGGTTGTTGGAGGGAGGCGACAGACGACATCAGATGGACGTGACGGCATATTTTGACAGATATCGGAATGAAGGATACGGCAATGAGCCCTATCTGGCTGCTATCAACTGTTGTGCCTGGACTCTCAACAAGCGGCGCTATTGTGGAGAGTATCAGATAGGAACTGAAAGTAGATCATGAGACATACCAATATTTTTCCACTTGGATTCTTCGGTATGGCCTGCACGAACTCCACTCCTTCGAGCCACTTGTACCTCACCTTATGCTCTCTCACCCATTTCTTCAGTTCTTCTTTGATGATCGCATCTCCGAGCCCAGGTCCTGCGACCCTGTGTGCTTCGGCGGAGAGCACCACGAAAGCTAGCGGAACCTCGCCACGCTGTTTATCTGGGACACCGACTACACCTGTGTCCTGCACGTAGGGATGGATGATGAGGTGACCTTCCAGTTCGGCAGGGGCGACTTGATATCCGTTCACTTTAAGCATTTCCTGTCGTGTTCAAATGAGCCTGCGGCCACCTCGTCGAAGCCAGTGCTCTACCTTGAGTCGATCCACGACGAACAGCTGTCCTTGCTCGCTCATCAACGCTTTATCGCCTGTTCTTACCCATCCATCGGGAAAGAACGTGTCTTGCGTGGCCTTTTCGTTGTTGACATAGTAGATGCCTTCAGACTGAGGGCCTTTCACCCACAGCTCGCCCGGCTCGTCGTGCTCAGCCATCTGCCCGTCTTCTCGGACAATCTTCGCAACAGTGTCGGGCAATAGGGTGCCAGAGGAGCCATTGACTGATTTAGCGTGGAAATCGAACTTGGCATGGGGGGTTAGTTTACAACCAATGTACAGGTCTTTGCGGGGGACCTACTTGAGTGAGGATAGAAGCCGTCTCTGTCATGCCAAATGCTTGCCCCATACGGACATGGGGAAATATCGCGTTGAACATGTCTGTCACTTCTTCGGAGAGCGGAGCAGCAGCGACAATAGCGAATCGCAAGCTTGACAAGTCGTGGTGCTTGACTATTGGATCCTATCATCGTCATCAGTCCCACTTCTTAGTCTAGGAAGAGGTTCGCGTACATTGACAAACATGACGACCATTGGTGGTACCATGCTGGAGTCCACAGAGGTTAGTACTCACTGATGAAAGCAGAGCACACTCACTAAAGATGAGTGATCCGATGTCTAACAATGGTCGCAAGAGATTTTTGGAAGTTGAACTTGGGAACGACGACATAGCTCATCCCGCAAAACAGAGCGGCATGCAACTGGATGCGAAAAAGTCGATCAGCAACGCCTCTAACGAATGAAAGAAGCACGCACGTTTACGGCAAAACCATAGATATGATACAAGGGGAGGGCTGTGATCTTTTTGAGAACATCATGGTTGACGCTCAGAGCAAGACGCACCACCCAACGCTGTATCACCAGGCCGGGCAAACCGCTCATGAGGTATCAGCCCCTTCTCATTTGCTCGTGCATGTGCAACAATTTGTATCACGACAGCGATTACATTCTTGTGCGGTATCGCAATAGCCTTGGGTAAGCCTGTCGTCCCACTCGAGAAACTGAGGAGGGCGACGGTTTCGCCTACGCGAGGTCCGCGAGGTTCGGTATAGTTCAAGTCTAGATCCCAACCCTCGGCAACCAGTTGCTCTACTGTGGTGAAGGTGCAATCGTCGTCGATATGAGACTCGGGTGGACATGCTAGTGCGAAACAGTTCTGCCCAGGCGCTAAAAGCTGCGGAGTATCCAAGATGACCACATTTTCTTTCGAAAATAGGCCAGTCGCCTTAACGGCAGCAAGGGCCGTGCACAAAGAAGTAGAAGACGTAAGCAGAAGCGTGGAAGACGTCTCTCTGAGTTGGTATTCGAGTTCGCCAGAAGTGTACGACGGATTGGCACAAGAGACAACCGCACCGAGCCGGTGAAGAGCCCAGACAACGATCGGGTAGTCTGCGCATATCAATCTGTCAGTGTTCACATTCGCTCCAGGCTGGGAAAGGAGTACCAATATGATTCTGACTAAAGAGACAGACGACATCCCCGGTCTCAATACACCATCTCTTCCTCAGCGCCCTTGCCAACCGTTCCACCCGATCTCGAACCTCTTCCAGCCTGTAAGATCGACCCGTGTCATCGTCTATCAACCATGGATGGCCCGGAAGCCTGCTGGGACGGAGAGGGTGGGAAGACTGGTCGAGGAGGAACTGGGGGATGCTGAGATCTCGAGGGTAGCGGTGAGGCTGGGTGATACGAGAGCGGAATTCAGGCGTTGGATGTCTCGCTGCGGCCAGCTAAGAGCAACATCTGCTGTGTGAATATATACCTTGAGTATCCGCTTCCTATAACAGCCATGGAATATGATCCGACCGGCCGCTAGGGCTCCCAGCGGCGATCTGATGCTCCCCGTTCCGCCATCTGAGCTGCGGTTCGATGATGCCCGGATACGCAGGGCAAGTAGGGGTCAAGTAGGGTGGATGAGGAGCTGTCGCCGAAGGTGTTAACTCGAAGCAAAAGGTCTTCTACCTACAGCGAAAGATTGATCGGTGACTCGGCAGTGGCCGATAGACCTGCACAGGAGTGATATCTGGAAGATTGAGTTCACTAGGTTTCATGGTTCTCCTAGCGGGGTTGATGCAGCCAGCAAGAGCGCAACAGATAATTCGTGGGGAATGACATCCTCCTCGACAGCCGATGATAACAGCTGGACCATGAAAGCGGAGAAGAAGTTGGTCCGTTCCCGGCGTCAATTCGGTTCCTATCAGAACACTGGAGAATCGCGGTTCCTGCAATGTGACAAGCGGTGTCTGGGAGAGTCGGGAAGTGCATCAGCATGTCTTGTTGTCGATACTGAGGAATGCATTCAAACCCAGCAGGGAAATGCCCAGAAGTCGTACAGATCGAGTTGATACTGACGACAGTTGATAGCATGTCAGAAGAGGCCTGGGAATGTTGATGGTGGCAATCTCGGACTCGAATCAGAGGGTTGTTGCCTTCCAAGGTACATAAGTACAGGCAACTGGATGAGAGATGTGAGGGTCTGAGCTACCGTGTGTATCACGTGCCTCAGTGCTTACCCTCTGTATATGCGCCTAATTTTCTCTTCCCTTCACTTTCGAGAATGCCGGAGTCTCCAGTTGACGGTAAGATCCACCCGTCCCGTCCGGTTGAGGGCAATCCTCATCCATCCTTTCCCTTCCTGATACATACCTTGCGCACCATCTCCGCCGGCTTCCCCGCACAGTCCCGTTCAACGCCTCACCCTAGCCTCCTACTTTCTCCGGCTCGCATCCAGGAAGTCGGGATCCCAGGTTGGCAGGTGGAGAACAGTCAAAGAGTTGGGAGTAAAATGAAGATGCTGGCGAGTGGTGGGATGCGGTTAACCAGGATGGACAGGACAACAGGTATGATTCACCTGCGGACTGGACACAGCGACGATCGCCGATATGAGACATTCAGTCCCTGCCCCACCCACATGCAGCATGTGCTCACCCCGGTCATCAGGGTCCAGGTTCCTCAGTCAAGTGGGGTTCCGCTCGGCTCCGCCTATTCCGACCTTCAACGTGCAACTTTTCTCCTTGTTTTCTCTTTCCAGCCACATCACCGCACTTCATATATCTTGCTTCTCTCCAGGGCCTTTCCAGCGATTTCATAGATTACTTCTCTCTTGCTTATCTTGAGAAGGCAGATATCCATCGATTCAATCGATACGACCCCGCTTCATCACTATCTCCTTACACGCGTGCGACCACTATCTCCAGCCCCAACCCACGTGAGGACGACCACCCTGTTCCCAGAGGTCGAAAGACGACCATCCGAACGACCATACTGTCCCAAGTGGAGAGTTGGGAACTTACTCGACTTCGAAAGTGACACCAAACAAGCCTAGCATGCGGCCACATGGCCCATCATCCCCACGGCGAGCGTGCACCTGCACGCGCCGCATTTCCCACCTCTCAGCACCTCTTCCAGCCCACTTCTTCCCGGCAAATCAACCCATCTCCAGGAGAGGGCCTTGATCCGACAGGAGGACGAACAATATCCCATTCTAGAGGACCTTCCTTGGCCATATCCCTCCCACGGACTCCGAGCGACGTGTCTGCATCTTCTGAGCCTGCTTCAGCCTCCGACTCTTCAAACTCGGGACGAACTGTCCTTCCACGAAGCTTCGAGGAGGCGCCAGTGGAACATATTGTCGTCCTTGTTGGTGCGTATTTCCCTTCTGACGTGAGTTATTGTACCTTTGCTCATTCAGTTCCTTGATGGAACAGCCGACATGCTCCAACGTCTGACAGATATTAATGACCAAATCGAAGTCCAGCAGTGAGTCTTTTCCCTCTTATACCAAGCTGCCTGTTGTTCCAAAACAAGCGCCGCAGAGTATAACAGAAGCTGAACGGCGTGTCTGTAGACCTAACCTTACCCGCTTTCACTCTCGCACGCCACCTGCTATCTCGATACGCGATTATCTTGCACGTATCGTCCAATATACCAAGCCCGAGGTTCGTGTATGATCCCCGTTTAACCGCAGATGTTCTTACGTCTTTCCTGCGATCCAGAGATCCTGCCTTCTCCTGACCCTGCACTATGTCGATCTCCTTTGTGCACGTAACCCCGCTTTTGCCCTCTCCTCCCTTACCGTCCACCGGTTCCTCATCGCATCCATCACCTGCTCTTCCAAAGCTCTATGTGACGTCTTCTGCAAGAACACGCACTACGCGCGTGTGGGAGGGCTGGGACTGGGAGAGTTGAATTTGCTCGAGAGAGAATTCCTGGAGGCGATCGATTGGCGCTTGGCTGTGAGTCATTTGCCTATCTTCCAATAACGGAGCAGAGCGCTGATCCAGTTGGTTGGCACAGACCACTCGAGAGCTCATTCAGTCTTACTACGAATCCCTCGTATCTGCCCACCCCGCCTACAGACTGGCTCCTCCCCCGCCTACGTCCGCTCCCGCCTCGGCACACAATTCCGAATCATCCATGTCTTCCTCTTCCTCTGACGCAGGCGAGATGGGGGATGAGCTGGGTGCCGGTGCTGGTGCTGGTGCTGGTGCTGAGGGCAACGCGATGGGGAGTGGAGATGGCAGCGCGAGCGATCACAGTATGCGGAGCGTCGAGAACGTGAGAGGACATCTGTATCTCCATCCAAGAGCGGTGGTGCAACCGTTGCTTCAGGAACCACCGGCGCACCAGCAGCAACAGTTCGAACATAAACATCAACACCAGCGCCAAGGAGCACCTCAGGAGCAGCCGGCGGGAGCGGGACAGCAGCCGCACCCTGTTCACCCGGGCCAACAGCGAGAGACTTGGCAGCAAGACAGTCATCATCACGAGCACGGACAACATCAGCATATCTATTCACACCAGCGTAGGCACGACATGCTCCAGCAGGAACATCATCACCATCACCACCAACATAGTCAGTCGCAGCAGCACGGTATTCCTGGAGAACAACAGCAGCAATCACCTCATTCCCCGCATCACCACAGACAACAATGATACCGTTTACAAAAACTGCACCGGGCTGAGAACGGACACCAGCAAGGTCAACATGATCCGTAGTACTAGCCTCGGCAGTGTCCATGCTGGTGCCATGAGTTCCAATGGTGTCCAAGTGACAAGTGGCAGCGTTCATAAGCACCAGAAGAGCCTTGGTCAAGCAACCATCATCAAACATGCCAAAGATAGCAAGTAGGATTGTCAGCCAGAATCAGAGCTTATCTTTTGAAGGGAGCGACCATATTCTCAGCACCTTCGAACAGAAGATTGCTGAGCATAATCCAACTCTCCAACCTGTTCGGCTTATATTCTCCCTCTTTCTCACATTTGGCACGTTGAAGCTAGAACTTTGCCAAGAAACGGGAACCAAGCTCGCACTAGAATCCCACACTCAGCTCGGTTTTACTACATGGTTGTCATCCTGCTACGTGTTCTCGTAGAGGGTTTCATGTCCATCGCCGCTTGTTCATGTTGTATTATCCTGTAGTTGGGTTTCAGTACGGGTCGTATGCTTTACACATTTTGGCGTTTATTTTTTCATGTTTATCGCTCAATTTTTCCTGTCCACGTGCACGCAACCATGAAGACAACTGGAAGCATATCTTCACTAAACACTTCACCGGACTGAGGACGGACGGCAACTCCACAAGATCAGCGGAGAGAACGTTGGTGTTCCTGCTCATTTGATGAGTCACTGTTCTTCTCTCCCATATGGCTTACAGCAAGGCACAAGTGTTGACAGAAGCGACGGTGCCCACGTTTGCAGAATCCCACACTCCAACAATTTCGCTCCTGCCATGCGCTTGTCCCATTCTCGTCACGCGCTGCAGCCGGTTTCATGCTGTTTCTTTGATGCTGTTCCACGCTTTAGGCAGATCTTCTAGACGGATCGTGCGTCTCACAATCTCTGGGCGTCAGGACTTCCCCTTGAGATTTTCTCACATTTGCAGTTGTCCACGCGTACAATGATCCTAATCATATGCCTCGGAACAACCTGACGCAAACCGCATGTTCCCTTTTCCAGCTATGTAAGACAAAGGAGAATCGAAGGGATGATCCCAAAACGTCGCGTCGCCATCAATCTGCTTTCCCAAACCGGACGCTGCCCTGGGCGCCAGCAAGTCCGAGTCATGTGGTTCAGGGCGCACGTTTGACCAGCATGCACCGGGCACACGGGGACACGGGCGTCAAGGAGCGGCCGCAACCGCGTGTTGCCGGCCGCGAAGGGCGAGATCTGGAGATCTCGGCCGGCGAGCCTCATGCTCGGGAATGCGGAATGCGGAATACGGGGCTAGACTGGCCCCGCTCAGGCCAAGGGGTGAAGTTGTCCCGACCCGAGACTAGGTCCTGATCGTGTGCATGCGCTCTAGATGCGAGGATATGCAGCGCCTTTGTCTCAAAGGTTAATGAGTTGGCCGGTGGCCGGAGATGCCGCGAGACGTGGACCTTCCCGACTGGTTCGGAGTTGTTCCCTCCCGGAGCATAGCGTTTCGAGGATAGATGGATGATATCGATGACTGCGGCGGTTGTCTCCCCGTACATGGTACACATGGGAATTCAGTTATTTTGGGAATACAGTATGTGTAAGTATGTTGGTATTCATTTTTTTTTCATTCGACTATGTTTTTTGACTGAGCGAGTCGCCGAGTGATGCTATGCTATGCTATGCTATGCTCCGCAACTACGACTACGACTGCGAGTGCAAGGGATATAGTACAAGCACAACCCCCGCTCACGGTGAGGGTAAGGTAGGAACAATTGTAATGTGGGAAGGAAGAGCAGGAGACCCGCTCTTCTGCCAACACGGTAAAACGACCGACTTGGGTGTACATTGGGGAATGTAACACCCCGTACACCGGGAGGGGGGGGATTAACACAGGGTAGAACAACATCTGTGGGGAAAAGAGGCAGGAGAGGGAGATGGAGAGGATGATATATAATGAGTGACGGGACAAGCCAGAGGGTTTGCGTTTGCGTTTGCGTTTGATATGAGTGATGAGGTAGAGGTAGAGATATGGACGAGAGTCGGTGCGGGTGCGGGTTGTTGGGGGGGGGGGGGGGGGC